ATATGAGAGCAGATGTAAACCCAAATATGAGTAATTACATTAAAAATATAACCACACTGAAATCCCCTAAATGACAGACACTGTCAGACTAGATTTTTAAAAACCTTACAAATATGCTACTTACAAAAGACTTTCTTTAAATAAAGCTACAGAAAAAAATCAAAGTAAACGGATATGGAAAAAAGATAATATACAATTTGGAACGTTCTGCTAGGCTTTTGTTTCATTTTGTTTTTTAAAGAGCTCTGGTCAACAATCAATGATTCTCTCTCATCGTTGATGTTTCTATCTCTCTTTCCCTCTCCCTTCCTCTCTGAATCAATAATATATATATATGTATATATTTAAAAACATAAAAAATGTTTTTAAAAAAATAAATAGCTTTGCCCAAGTCCCAGTAACTTCCCATGATTGTCCCACTGCTTTGCTATTGCTTCTAAATGCTTATGTCCTGGAAAGGGAAGAGTCGATATAATTCTGAAAGGCTGGGTTCACTTTAGATGTTTAAAGAAGAGGGTACATAAAAATGCATCTCATACCCAAGAAAAAGAGTGAAGTGGGTGAATGGTTAAGTGTGGTACATCCAGACAGTGAAATATTATTCAGTGCTAAAAACAAATGAGCTACCAAGTCATGAAAAGACATGGAGGAAACTTAGATGCATATTACTAAGTGCAAGAAGCCAATCTGAAAAGGCTACAGAATGTATGATTCCAACTATAGGACATTCGGAAAAAGGCAAAACTATGGAGACAGTAAAAAGATTAGGGGTTAATGGGAGTGGGGTGGGAGAAAGATATAAATAGGCAGAGCATAGAGGATTTGGGGGGCAGTAAAAATATTCTGTATATTATAATTATGAATATGTGTCATTATACACTTGTCCGAACCCACAGAATGCATAATACCAAGAACGAACCCTAAGGTAAACTATGGGTTTGGATGATTATAATGTGTCAATGTAGGTTCATCTTTGGTGAAAAAAAAAAAAAAAAAGTCATTCTGGTGAGTAATATTGATAATTGAGGAGTCTATGAATGTGTGGGAAATCTCTGTACCTCCTTCTCAATTTTTATTAAAACCTAAAACTGCTTCAAAAGAAAAGAAACAGGTATAAAAATAAAGAGAGAGAACTCAAAGAACAGTACACCAAAAAGTGAATTTTACACTATAATTTTTGAGTATAAAAAATTTTTTTAATGAAAAAGTTAGGCTCTGAATGTGTTTAATTTAAAAATGGCTAATAGGCTACCATGGTTAACAATGAGCCAGCTGTTCTGGACAGAAATCACTGAAAAGCACACTGGGGCTGATCCTTTGAGTGGAACATAACATAGGTACCTCATGAATAGGAACAAACATTAACCATTTTTAAGCGCACATACACTCGCAGTAGTTTTTACACATTAAGAGGCCATTAGCTCCTGGGGCAAAGTCTCAAATCCCCAGCAGCACCACAATACGCAAAGAATACAAATCCATCATAAGATGGGAAGAATCAGTCTCAATTATGCCCCCAGGGTTCTGATTCCTTGTTTGACTCTGACAGATCTCAGAGGTAAACTATGAGCCTACAGTTACATAGTGTGCAGTTAGTAAGATCTGGCAGCCAGAAACCCATGCTCGTTAGCTACTAAATTAGAGTCCAGAATGCTGCAGGACAATGATGGACATTATTAAAATATGGAACAAGAAGCATAATATTGCCTTCTTAGCCTCCATCATAACACGTAGACTATCCTAGCACCAAAAAGAAAGCTGTAAGATGCTTTGATGCCACTGTTTCATAGAAAATAAATAACAAAAAATAGATATGAGATTTTTTTTTTTTTGTACTATAGAGGAAATAGAGGGGGAAAAAAGAACTAAAAGGTGCAAGAGTTTGGTACTTGGGACTGTTGTGCTTATTCATTGATGCAGTGGCTTTTCTTATGAACCACCCTCCTTGATATGCATTCTCTTGCATGGAGACTTTGGGCCCACTGTTCCTAGCAGCTATGTCAGTGCCTAGAATGAAGTAGGTGCTCAGTCAACTGCTATGGAACAGCAGTTTCCATTATTTCAATGGAATCATCAGTGAAACATAAAAATGTCACTAGTGATAGTCAATACCCTATCATCATCACTACTACCACCCCTAAAATAGTACCCCAAAGACTAGGTCCAAATTCTAAGTGATTGTTGAGTGCACAACACAGAGAAATGAAATGGATTTGCAGAAACCAAAAATGAAGCAAGTTTTAATAAGCTTTTGGCAAATCTGGCCCAACATCACAAACCTCAGGCAGTCCTAATAAGGAAGAATTGACTGTCACCTAAATCACTGCTCTCCCTAAATTAAAATGAGGATGATCCCTCTCTCAGTTTAGCACAGTAAAGCAAGCCCTACCTATCCTTTCTCTTGTGCCCTTTCAGCTGTCATTCTAAAAAATATTTAAAATCACAAAAGCAATCTTCCTCATTATAGCAAATGATTTAAAAAGAAGAAAATCACTTCTAAGTCTACCATCTAGGTTCAATAACAACATTAACATTTTTATGCATTTTCATTTTCCTTTTTTTATATATCCCCATGCTCACATTTGCTTTTTCTAATGAGAAATATGAAACGCAGTTCAGTAACCTCCTTTTCCCCTAACAATATATCACGATCATCTTTCTACCTTATTCAATATTGCACTTAGCCTGTCCTAACATGGCATCCATTGCATTTTATCTTTCTTGTGGGCATCATCAAGGAGACAATGTGACTTATTCTGAAGTATCTAAAGCAGTGGTTCTCAACCTTCCTAACGCCGCGACCCTTTAATACAGTTCCTCATGTTGCGGTGGCCCCCAATTTCATTGCTACAAATTGAACATAATTAAAGCACAGTGATTAATCACAAAAACAACATGTAATTATATATGTGTTTTCCGATGGTCTTAGGTGACCCCTGTGAAAGGGTCGTTCAAACCCCAAAGGGGTCGCGACCCCCAGGTTGAGAACCGCTGATCTAAAGCCTTCTTCAAGGACCTTAGAACCTACCCTGTGCCCTGCCAGTGCTTCCTTAAAGCCAACACTCCAAGGAAACATAATAATATCCGCCTCTGGATTCCCTCCATTCCATTCACCAAAGCTGTTTTCTTTAATTGGATATTTAACACCTCCCTTTGCTTTCCCCAAATCCAGCTGCTTAAAGCCCAGTTTTAGTTGTGAGCTACGCATATTGAGATCACTCCTCAGAAAGTCAGGAGACACTGCTGTGTGCCTTTGAATGTTTAACACTACATCTATTAGGAATTAGTTTTTTCCAAAATTCCACATTTCAAAGAAGTTAAAAATACGCCAGGAGTTTTAAAGACCACCTTCAGAGTCAATTAGCAGCTACAAATTTCTATCTAGTCACTTAGATAAAAGATCCACCTGATGACTATTGGTATGAAAAGATAAAAAGCATTTGGCGTTCTTAAATATATAAAAGGGAGCCCCTTGATATATAAAATTTAGTGCAGAAAAATAGTGAATTAGAGTTAATTCACTAGCTCCTTCAGGTAATAAGTTTGGACCACTAGAAAATACCGCAGGCAGAATGGCCTTTTACATTTTAAGTGGGTTTTAGCAAGTCTCCATGGCAGCATTTTTTCTTACTTTGGGAATATGCTCCAAAACTTTCATCGAAGTCTGTGAGGACTATAAATCAATACCCACATTTGTACTTGATTCACGGCCTTTCAGGGAAGCACATTATGAATAGGAAAGGCTAAGTAAAATGATTTACATCATGGTTATAACTACCACTTGTAGAACACCTTCAATGCGTCAGGCATTTTATGTACTTAATTTCTAGTCTTAATCAACCCTACAAAGTTGGCTTACAAATGAGATACCAGAAGCAGAGAAAGCTGAAGTCCTTAACCCTTGGTCACCCAGCTACTACCTACCACAGCCAGGATTCAAATGCAAGGCACTGGGCCCCCAAGGGCTCAGAGACTATAAGTAAGTCACACTCCTGGGTCCCCTCCATTCCCATCTGATGTGGGGACTTGAACAAACTCAAGGAGGAGGATGAATCGTGTTACTGACTGCTGCCAGCACCACCGGCATGCTCAGGGGGTAAGCTGAGCCACATCACAGAAGTTTTCAAGAAGTAGACCCGGCTGCACAGTCTGACGCTAGAACCTACCCCAAAGACAATGATTCTTAACTGCACATTAAAATCACTTGGAGAGTGCCCTAACTGGTTTGGTTCAGTGGATAGAGCATCAGCCTGCGGACTCAAAGGACCCGGGTTTGATTCTGGTCAAGGGCATGTACCTTGGTTGTGGGCACATCCCCAGTAGGGAGTGTGCAGGAGGCAGCTGATCGATGTTTCTAACTCTCTATCCCTCTCCCTTCCTCTCTGTAAAAAATCAATAAAAAATATTTTTAAAAAATAAAAATAAAAAATTGTTTAAAAAAAAGATGATTTAAAAAAAATCACTTGGAGACTTTGAAAAATACCGATTCCTAGCTCCCCGTAGAGATTCTGGCTTGACTGGTCTACAATGGGACCAAAGTACCAGAATTTTTAAAAAGATGTCCAGATGAGTCTCATGAACACCCATTGAGAACAAATCCCTAGCCAGGCCAGCGTGGCTCAGTGGGTGAGCATCGTCCTATGAACCAGAAGGTCATGGTTCAAGTCCCCGTTAAGCACATGCCCAGGTCTGGGGCTCTATCCCCTGTGTGGGGCCTGCAGGAGGCAGCCGATCAATGATTCTCTCTCATCATTGTTATTTCTATCTCTCCCTTCCTCTCTGAAATCAATAAAAATATTTTTTTAAAAAAAGAGAGAACCAGTGCCCTAGAGGGTGTGTAGGGGTGTGTGTGTGTGTGTGTGTGTGTGTGTGTGTGTGTGTGTATACATATACCTAAACACCTAATATCAGGTACTTTTCCTTATTACATATTCCTAGCAAAATGTGAAGCACTGGAATCGAAAGGTTAGTGGGGACGACAGAAGACCTGGATACATTACCTGGGTGGTATCTTCCATGAGTCCACGGATCTTCTCTACCACGTCGTTGCGCCGGTACTGGCGCAGGGCGCTGATGAGCTGCGCGAGGCTGGCCTCGGAGCCGCGGATGGTCCAGTGCTGCAGGGCCGCGTAGGCCCGCTCATGGTCCGCCGCGTACCCGTTGGAGAAAGCAGCCACCTCCCTCTCGCTGGCATTGCACAGGAACTGATAGATGTCCTTCCACTGGCTTCCCACCTGGGCTGCCACCAGCTTCAGGATGTCAATACCTACACCAGAGATAAAATAAAAAATAATAATTGTAATAAAAGCATGTGAGGGAAGGGTTTTATATAAGGCTGCTCTGTTTCAATGAACTAAAAGAAGCGTGCTTGCCCAGCCAGTGTGACTCAGGGGCTGAGGGTGGACCTATGAACCAGCAGGTCACAGTTTGATTCCCAGTCTGAGCCCAAGCCCGGGTTGCTGGCTCCATCCCAATCCGGGCCATGCAGGAGGCACTTAATCGATGTTAATGTTTCTCTCTCATCATTTATGTTTCTGTCTTCTCTCCCTTCCTCTCTGAAATCAATAAAAATATATATACTTTAAAAAATAATAATAAAAGAAGCATGCTTATTGCTATATGCCAAAGGAATGCATTGCCTACTATAAGCACTTGACACCCGCAGCCCATCCTGGGGACTAAGTAGGTACTCTCCTGCAAATTTCAATTCCTAAATGTGGAACCAGAAGAAGGAGCAATCTTGAAAGTACAATAAATCGCCCCTAGAAGATGTTTTGAAAGCCAAACCTAAACAAAGTCATCAGAGTGGTTCCTTTGTTACTGCTAAAAACAACCAGAACCAAATAGATTAGCGGCTCCCAGACTAAAAAAGTGGTGACTTTTTCAAGAAATCTAGAAAAAGATAAGCCATAGAGGAAAACTGCAGTGGGGCTCCTCCAGCACTGTGTGGGTAAAAGGTGCTCAGCTTCTGGCAAGGGCGTCCATTACGTCAGCTGACTATGCACCCGGCTGTTCCAGCCCAATGGGGACACTCCTTAAGAACGACTCACTTCTTGTGCTCTAATTGATGCTAGAGAAGCAATGTTCTGATCTATTATTCAGTCTCCGATAACACTTGCAGCGATAATGAAGACAACAGCCAAAATGACACTATAATAACAATAGCAATTATCTTCCAGGCAGTATAGGAAGACATTAGCCATTAGCTCACTGAACATCTTTATAAAGCATTAACATTCCAATTCTACAGGTAAGAAGAAGAAAAAACACTTAGAAAAATTATGCAATTTGCCCAATATTACAATATTAGGTTGGGTACTGAGCCCGATTTACTGGATAATGTTATAAATTGTCATTCTGATTTATCAGCCACTTAGAAACTCAGGCAGTGTGGGTCTGCAGTGCCCACATTTGACGAAATACAGGATGAAAAGCCAAAATCCAATCTCAGAATCTACAAACTCAGGACAGGCTGTTGGCACCGACCCTCTGTGAGATGCAGCTTTCCCTGAGTAGCATGCTCTGGTGTCTTCCTCTTTATGGAACCTTCCCCCTGCAATTGCATAACAGCTTTGCCCAAATTTATACACAGAGTGTGTATGCAACCTCACAGTAAGGGCTCTGGTAGTTTACCCAACAGGTGGGTGAGTTCTCTGAGTTAATACTATGTAGTCCAATGAGGCTATATTCACACACCCTGATACGAGAGCTATTTTGGTTAGCAATGCCTTAGAAACATGTACTACTCAGCTTTGGGACAGCATGGACAGACCTGGAAAATATTATGCTAAGTGAAATAAGCCAACCTGAGAAAGACAAATATCACATGATCTCACTTATTTGTGGAATCTAATAAACAAAATGAGATGACCAACAAAATAAGACCTGAAGCATGGAGGCATGGAACAGACTGACACACCTCGGGGGGTGGGGGGACAAGAAGAAGTAAACCAAAGAGCTTATTTACTTATAGGCATAGCCCATGGACATGGGCAATAGGGTAGTGAAGACCTGGGGCGGGCGGAGAGGGGAGGGAATGGGGATGGGGGCGGATAGGGCCTAAGAGGAGGAGGGAAAGGGGGGAGGGAAATGGGAGATATCTGTAATACTATCAACAATAAAAAAATATATTAAAAAAATTTGCTACTCAATAAACAAAATGGGGTCCCGTTCCCAAGTGAAGTCTAGTGAAGAAAGGCAAAGAGAAGAATCAAGGAGCTTCCTGTTAGGGTTAATTGGCTTTTTCAATTAATTAGAGGTTAACCAAGAAAAAACCGAAATGTTGGGAAAACTAAGATGGCGGCATAGGTAAACACCGGGAAATTGTCGCCTCACACAACAATTGAAAATTACCGCAAAGGACTGTGCAAACATCATTCAGAACAACAGGAAGGCTGGCTGAGTGTAAATTCTACAACTAGAAGGAAAGAAAAGCATGCTGAGAGCCAGAGGAGCTGCGGAGGTGAAGTGCAGAGGTACGGCGGCTCGCGCGCGAGGAAAGGGGGTGGCGCCTGAGGACGCGGCTGTCTTTTTGAACCACAAGCTCCCTACGGCTCTGAACTCCGGTTCCGGGAAGTCTCTGGGGACCCAGGACTCATACCGGGAGAGGCTGGTCTGTCTGGCAGTGGGCGAACTTGAGGGCGGCTTTCCCTCAGAGGTGCTTGCAGCCGTTACCGGGACACTGAGACGTGCGACTCTGGGCGGAGAATCGGCCATAGCTGCTTTCTCCGCCCTTTGACTCCGAGACTCCGCCCCACCCAGGCTGCGGCAGAGGCTTTTGCATGTGAATGTACCTAACTGCAGCCGAACCGGGCAGACCCGGAACTTCCAAGAGAAGGCCCAAGGCCCCGCAGCGGCTTGCATTGCTTCACAGCTGAGCCTCTTCGTGGCTCCTGCTGTGTGGCCTCAGGCAGAGGCTGAATTAGCACCTCCTTAGATCCAGGAGCCACTGTACCCAGTGGTCAGAGGGGGACCATCCAGACTGCAACTCCTCAGATCCATAAGGGACACACTCAGGGAGCAGACTCAGTGAGCACCAAAGCCCCACTGAAGCAAGTCTTGCCCCAGAAGGGTGTCTTCAGCACAGAAGTTCTCCCACTTTAGACACAGCTGATTCTCACAGCCAATTGGCCTGGAGGTCAATTCCTCCCAGTGATTCTACAACAACCAAGGCACCAAGAGTGCACCAAGAGTGTCCACCCCAGGTAACTGGGGAGGCTGAGCTACTGGGCCCTACAGGACACCTGGCACGCAGGGCCACTCTATCAACACAGGGAAGCTGCCAAAATGCGGAGACAAAGAAACAGGTCACAAATGGCAGAAATGGAGGAAAGCAAACGATTGGATATAGAGTTCAAGGCCACATTTATAAGGTTTTTCAAGAATTTTATGGAAACCGCCGATAAATTTAATGAATCCCTCAATAAGTATAGTGAGACCATGGAGGACATGAAAAAGGACCAACTAGAAATTAAGCATACACTGACTGAAATAAAGAATAATTTACAGAGATCCAGCAGCAGACAAGAGGATCCCAAGAATCAAGTCAAAGATTTGAAATACAAAGAAACAAAAAATACCCAACCGAAAAAGAAAAAAGAAAAGAGATTCCAAAAATATGAAGATAGTGTAAGGAACCTCTGGGACAACTTCAAGCGTACCAACATCAGAATTATAGGGGTACCAGAAGGAGAGAGAGGGCAAGATATTGAAAACCTTTTTGAAGAAATAATGACAGAAAACTTCCCCTACCTGGTGAAAGAAATGGACTTACAAGTCCAGGAAGCGCAGAGAACCCCAAACAAAAGGAATCCAAGGAGGACCACACCAAGACACATCATAATTAAAATGCCAAGAGCAAAAGATAAAGAGAGAATCTTAAAAGCAGCAAGAGAAAGACAGTCAGTTACCTACAAGGGAGTACCCATACGACTGTCAGCTGATTTCTCAACAGAAACCATGCAGGCCAGAAGAGAGTGGCAAGAAATATTCAAAGTGATGAATAGCAAGAACCTGCAACCAAGATTACTTTATCCAGCAAAGCTATCATTCAGAATAGAAGGTCAGATAAAGAACTTCACGGATAAGAAAAAGCTAAAGGAGTTCATCACCACCAAACCAGCATTATATGAAATGCTGAAAGGTATTCTTTAAGAAGAGGAAGAAGAAAAAGGAACTCTTACCATTTGCCACAGCATGGATGGAACTGGAGAGCGGATAATACCACATGATCTCACTCATTTGTGGAATATAATGAACAACATAAGCTGATGAACAAGGACTGATCCAGAGACGGAGAGGCATTGATTGGACTGTCGGGCCTTGGAGGGAAGGTAGGGGAGGGTGGGGGTAAGGGGGAAAGATCAACCAAAGGACTTATATGCAAGCATATAGGCCTAATCAATGGACATGAACAACGGGGGGGTGAGGGCATGAGCGGGGGGGGGGGGGGGGTAGAGGGTAACGTGGGGACAAGGACACATATGTAATATCTTAATCAATAAAAAATATATTAAAAAAACAAAAAACAAAAAAAAAGATTATACTATGGCAAAAAAAAAAAAAGAAAAGAAAAAAAAAAAAAAAGAAAAAACCGAAATGTTTTTGCTCCAATCAGTTGTTGGGAGGAAATGTTTATAAACTGAGCTATCAATTTTTGTTTAAGAAAAAAGAAATACTAATTCCAGAAGCTTCTTTGAAAATAAAGGACTTTGGGGTTCCCCCATATCAATTCTCCCTCTGCCATGCAATCCTACTGAGGCACACGGTTTAGAAGACTGAATACACACCCTCAATCAACCTCCTGAAAATGATTTTCAAAAAAAAAGTTCATGGCAGAGGCCACTTTCTTGTCAACTGTAAAAGTAGAATGCCACAAATTGAGACATTACTGTACTTCTCACCCTGTTTTCTTTGGCAGTGTAAACTATACTTGGACCGGTTGCTTTTCAGTTTTCACAGCAACGTTGAGCCAGATACAGAGCTTTCGATTTCAAGCAAACAGAATCCTCAAAAAAATCCCACAGGTACCTGTGAGGAGTAAGGCAGCTCTCTGCGGTTGATGTGGCAGATTGTGCCAAACACCAAAAGGCTTATTAGTCCCTGAATCTTAATTTAGGTCAGTTTGACTAAGGTCCACCGTGTCTGACATGAAAACATGACTGTTTTCTTGTATGTGGGTCTATTGCTTAAATCTTCATAATGCCCATGACAGTGTGGCTTTGGGCAAACCACTAACTGTCATGTCCACTTCCTCATTTGTACAAC